ACAACAATATCACTTGACCAATAAAAATTAATATAGAATTTTAAAAGATTTAAAACTTTATAAATTATTATAATTAGCATTTTAAAAAATTAAAAAGATTCTTGTAAAAATTCATTACTCATCGAAAAAATTTTTTAAAACAGTAGTATCCATAACATATTTTATTCATAAAAGCAATTAAAAGCTTTTCTAATTAAATAATGTCTTAGTTTTATTGCATTTTTTTTTTTTTACGATTCAGAGCATATTTTTTGTAAATTTTTGTTTGACCAAAAAATTGATGATGAGTAATGAGTAACGGCTCAGATAAGGAATCGGAGAGCCGAGTTCGAATTCCAGTCGAATCCATTGGGAAAGGTTTGAATCCTCTTCTTCTTCTCCCCCATAATGTATGGGTAAATATAGCCTTGGATGGTAAGGCTATAGAACTTTATAAATTCAGAGTTGTTCTAGAACAACCCTGTATTTGGCCCTTCAAAATGTGTCGTTGGTTCTACGCAAAGAACCTAACCACAAAGCCTTCACCACTATAATCAAATCATACGTCGAAAAAACGACGGGAGAGACCAGCAGATAGATAGATAGATAGATAGATAGATAGATAGATAGATAGATAGATATAGACCAAATATGGATCAGGATCCGACAGAATGATAAGATAGGAAACGTTTATCAATCTAACATGTTTGGCTTTTATTAAAGCTTCGTCAGAGACTGAGATATGGAGGAAAAGAAAGAAATTCTGGTATATTTAATTAAGAACGCCACATTTTATGCTAACGTTAGTCTAAAAGAGTCGAATGCACGTGATGCATGACTGACCAATGAAAATCAAACAACACACAAGTAAATGTTCTTTTTCTCCATATCTTCCCTCCATAAGGAATTGGTTTACGTGTCGGTTTTGATCCACGTGTTTGTTATATAAGAGAGAAAATTTTGACTGCAATGACAGTAAAGGTTAGACCACACTCGAGTGAAAGACTGCTGTTGTCGATAAGGTATTATGCCACTCGGGCTAAAGGCTATCATCAGGCAGAAAGATCTGACCGTCCCGGCATGTAAAGTCTGCTGCAACTGAAAAAAGAAATAGACCACTCTGGGATGATAAAAGACTATTACCATTATCGCTGTTGACAAAGAGGATAGCAGAAGAATTTTATAAATTCTCCTAATATGAATGAATTTCATAGACTTGTTAGAGTTAATCTCAAATTTGAGGACACCCGTTCCAAAAGTCTGAACATTCGTCAAAGGCACCCAGTGAATCAGCATCGCCGAAGAAGGTGAAACTTTTCTCACCCATCTTTCAACTTTCAACCTTTGAACCAGTGACATTTTGAATTGTGAACTTTTTTTAGTACGTATATTTATTTTATTGATAAAAATAGATTTATATGAAATGTTTTTAAAATCCCTTTGTTGATAAAAAAAATTGCTTTACAAAAAGTGTAGTTTTCTAAGAGAAAAGTGGTTTGTATTTGAAAGAACTATTGACCTACCTTGATTATTTGAGGAACACAAGGTAAATTTTGTGCAAGGCCTATATTGTAATTTGTACTATTTGCATATCATGAGAAATATTTTTATCACTGAGGGAATGTTTTCTTTCTCTGCAAATTTCACACCAGATTAAGAGTCTTGTGTTTTTCATTTGCGCCATTCAAAATACTCAGGATAAGAGATTTTACGTCCTCTTTACTCCTATGCCTTATAAATACTTTTGCTCTTTCATAAATTTATCTATACTTAATCATTAGTAACTGCATTTAACTAACTTTATAGTTAATCCAATGCCAGGTTGTGACAATGAATGAATGCTATCAAAATGAAATTTATGCAAAAATAAGATATGGATACATCACATTGTTGTGGAGTGATTTCGCAGTGGAGGCTTGTATTTGTACTAAGTCGCTCCTAAAATAGGTTCGACATACAAAACGTTAGGAACTTGATATAATAGGTATTACGCAGAGTAATCTTGTTGTGGTCGCTGATACTTTCGTATTCGACTAACTGTCGTCCGACATCGACTGACCGTCGTTTCTATTACTACATCTACTTATATTAGGTGGGAGAGTCTATTAACTATAGAATAGGTGTGTTTCACCATAACACACATTTACTAGAATTATTGTCTGACACTGAAAACTCTTAAAGGTTAGCAAAAGATTTGATTTCTTCGTGAGATTTTTTTCCTCTATTATTTGTTACAAAACGTTGATATCGACTTGTATCGCAAAAGCCGACCGCAACACGCAATCAGGTTCTGTATTTTGATTGCCTTTGTAAAGGACCGGGGGTGAAGATGAAAAGAAAACACGTGCATTTAAACTTCCTGCTAGAAGGTCCAGCTACAAGAAAATGTCGGACTTTAGTTATGTCCAACCGAAGATAAAGAAGACAAACAAACAAGACCGATATATATATAAACAAATATATGTATTAAACAAAACAATTACAAAGCATATAGACAGTTAACATTGTGATTGCGTGTGAACATTTGGTGAATGTTCATATTTTGGTGAATGTTCGTATGTAGGTGTATGTTCGTAATGTTTATAGCGTCTTCCCAGAAATGGGAAACTCTGTCTTTTGTGAGAGCTCACATAGTCGCGGTGTTCGCTGAAATGAAGAAAGAAGAGAAAGAATTACCTCACATCCACGCGAGGTGGGATGCGGCACGAGGCCTGAGGGAAAAAAGGTCAAGGCAAGAAGTCGCCCAGTATTTATAGTATGGGGAGAGAGACCTGGTGAAGAATTAGGGAACTAAGGAGGGAGTAACTCTGACACCTTCACTATGCGATATTGAAGAAATGGACTCAGTAAGTATTTACAGGTTTTATTTCCATTGATTCAATTTTGAAGGGTTTAATCTGTGAAAAGCGGTCAATAATGTTGTATGGTTTATCATATTATCGTATTTATTTGTTTTCAAAAGATACAGACTGAAAGGTTTTCAAATATACTCGAATGAACAGCAACGGGTTGACAATTCTCTTTTTTTTATATATATATATCCCGAGATTTGTTTTCTACTTCGTCTGCAAATTTCTAATCTTATTTTAGGTTTTATTTTTGGCGGGCTTTTTCCTGGAGACTGTTGTCTGTTTTTGAGAAACATACGCACACATGCACACACAATTGTGTGTGTGTGTGTGTGTGTGTGTGTGTGTGTGTGTGTGTGTGTGTGTGTGTGTGTGTGTGTTTATGCATGTTGATTTTTTTTTAATATGCTTCTGAAATGTTTACATGATCACTAATTTGTTAAATTTTGAATATGGTAACATATCAAAATTAACCAAATGATCCAGAGAAAATTTTGAATTTATTTTTGCCGACAAAGACGATCGATTGGAATTAGAAAGTTCTGTCACATCCCTTTATTTCACCCGTGCCAGCGCTTCGCTAGGAGTTTTCTTCCGTTCCATAAAAATGCCACCAATAGTGAGATCATTCGTAACATTAACAAACGTCAAAAATGGCACTGCAAAAAATATCTCATTTAAAACCGGTCATATTCTGTCGCATATGAATCTGTGATTTGCCTGAACGCTGGTAGAAAGCGATAAATAGTAATGGATATATATTGAAGAATTCTTCATGGTTCCTTTGTGAGAAATAATAAAAAGTTATTTTCTGCACAAAATATTCAGAATAATTATTTTCACACTAAAAATAAAAATTATCAAAGATCAAAACGTTTATAATCAGAAAAATGTCAACTGTTGCCCCCGTAGGAAATTCTGTCGTCCAGGGTTTTTTTTTATTAAAATCCAGAACGTCCGAATTCCAAACAATAATAAAATTAAAATAAAGAAAACATGGTTTCATGCCTGTTAAATAAATCATTTATATTTACAAACATATGTACATAAATTCAAAAAATTAAAAAAGAAGTAAAAATTGTTTTTAGCTGAACAATCAAAAAGCATCGACATTTCTTGACCACATTTTTGCATATACATTCTTTATAACATTAACTTAGTTATTACCACAACAAACATTTTGATTGTCATCACATATGTATTTATTGTTGATATAAAAATTTCTTTATTGTTAGATTCTCTAACAACTGTGTTTTAGTAATTTCTAACCATGCAAATTGTCCTTAAACTGTTTGTTTAATCTACACTACATGTTGTGTGATACTGACATTATAAGAACGCATAAACTTCGTCTTACATAAATTTACCTTCTGATACATTTCACTCCACGCACATCCCGCAACAAAATCATTTTTCCTTTGGTCACAACTTGGAAAACAGAACGCCTTTGTGTCATCGATATGAGAGTGCGTGTGTGCAGTCGAGTGTATGTGTGCAGTCGTGTGTGTGTGTACGCAAGAAAGAGTTAGTGTGCAAAAGGCCTTACGCTGACACGGGCATAAGAAAGTTGTAAAAAAAACGGTGTGTTTTCAAAGTTTTATATATCGAAAATTTTATACGACTCTTTAGCACACAACACACAGTCACATTTGAAAACATTTCGTTGGAATTATAATCGAAGTTTTCATTACAAATAAGAACAAAATTTAACTCTCTGATTAGATTAATGAATTATTTGGGAACAATCTATTTATCTTTGATCAAGAACTGAAACGTGTGTATATCTGTCAGAGTTTTGAGCGGTTGCATTCTTGAAAGATAAAAAGTAATTCACACACACACATATAGTTAACGCAAGAGGCTAAAACCGTGGGACGACAAAAAGAAGGTTGCAAATGTTGAGAGGTATGGACAACGATACGGGAAAATAAAATAACATTGTAATGAAAAAAATTTTTAAAAAAGAGGAAGAGACAGGGTTATTAAGTATATAGAATGTTTTTAAAATGACAAGAACCTACGAAGCGGAAATGCCCGATGTCGTTTCGTCATTTAAATCCGGTTTTGAGCGACTTTCTACTGTATGCAGTTTATTAGCGCAGCAATCACAGTTAAACACTCGACTTGAAGGATAATCGTTGAGCTGGATTCTCATTATTAAATGGTAACAAAATGTATTCACCATTCAAGAAATCGGATGGCAGAAGATTCTCGGCTGAAGGTAATCCATTGAAAATATTCTCTATCCTTCATCTGTATCATCTATATGAACATGATGCCTACGAAACTTTGTTAAGATCTATGGCTATGTTTTGAATTTCACAGAAAAAATATTATTGATTAATGTAACTTCTGTAATTGTGAGACGTAATTGCGAAACAAAATTGCTCAATTTAAAATAATGTCTACACAATATTTCACTTTCAAACTTTGTAAGGTTCTTCTATTCTGAACTGAACATTTTGACTCTTTAAATAAAACTTAATTCAAACACTGAAACACTGTTCTTTCTGTCGAAACATTATTATAAGAAAAAGAATTATTTACATTATCATTCAATCATTATTATAACAAAAAGAATTAAAAAGAATCACCAGAGATACGTTAGTTAATATTCATTAAAACATTTATACATTATATTATTTGCCGATGGATTAGTACTTCGGCTATGGATCAGAGAAAATGCACTTTGCTTAGAATCAATATGTCTTTACTCGTAGGCAAAAGATCAGAGCCTAGTATCTGTGCAGTATGTGAACAGTGTAAATTAATGATTCACACACAAGGTAGACAGACAGGCATTGCGTTTTATATATATATATATATATATATATATATATATATATATATATATGTGTGTGTGTGTGTGTGTGTGTGTGTGTGTGTGTGTGTGTGTGTGTGTGTGTGTGTGTGAGCGTTTGTGCGCGTAAGTGCATAGATAAACTGCGTCCTTAAAATCCAGGGAATTTCTTGCAATAAACCAAAATACCTGTACTCCTTTTTGTTTAAAATAATATACAAATAGAAATACTAAAGGAAAATTTCAAACCATACAAACATCTACGTAAAGCAATTTACTATATATATATATATATATATATATATATATATATATATATATATATATATATATATATATATATATATATATATCATAATTCATTTCTTTTTAAAATATGATTACATCGCGACACAGAAAATTTCCATGTTTCAAAACTGAAACTACATTTATAAATTTAATTATAAAATTTTAAATCCATAGTCTCGTTCCATTGTATACTTCCAAACAATTTATATTTTTACTGTTTTTCTTTCTTATTTATTTTATATATATATATATATATATATATATATATATATATATATATATATATGATATATGTATATATATATAATAATAATAATAATAATAGTCTTATAAATATAAGTAATTATACTCGTCCGGTTTGCCTGGCTCTTTAGGTTTATAGTTATATATATATATATATATATATATATATATATATATATATATAAACGCATCTGCATAAATACATAGATACATCAATAAGTTAGTATCGTAATGATAAAAAACGCATTTATTTTAAACAAATATTTGTTTTTTAACATAATCACATTCTTGTCAATTCACTTAACTGTTCTAAATTAATCATTTAATTTGAACATTATATAGGGAAAATTTCAGATCAAAACTCAGCTAATGACTGTAATGAACTTACTGGTTCACTTTTAATAAATTCATAGTTAAATTATGATCTCTAATTTTCATTGTATAATGTCCGATCTATACGAGTAGTACTTACCACTGAATTAAGCGCATTAACAAGAACGGCTTTTACATTATGTCAGATTTTGTTATGCAAATCAATGTTTTTTTTGTTTTTTTTTTAAGGTGTTCTTTTGAATGGTACTGACCATAATGAAGAAAATTTGAGCGAAAGAGTCGATTCATGCCGATATAATGTTCTTTTATTAATATGCAAATTAATAAAATTATTTATTCACATATATGGGATATTGCTTTTTAATGAAAGAGATGTTTCAGCGTATATATCTTCTGAGTTTATTTATGAACGTATATTGCATTTTATTATAAAATCTAACATTCCTCAACAAGTTGTTAAAATTTTAAATAGCAAGATATAAGCTAAAACTCGTACGATCTATTACTCACATAAATATTATAAACTGAACATTTTACCAACATCGATTAGTCAATATACTAATTTCATTCTAAATATACTGACTTGCATAATAAAATCTGCGTTTTTATGGAGGGAAAAATGTAAAATAAATGCTTTCTTCATCATTAGTCGATGATGTTAATGATGCACCTATTTACATTTATTTACTTGCTTCTATCTATCTATCTATTTATCTATCTCAGTCTGTTCATGTCTATCTATCTATCTATCTATCTATCTATCTATCTACACACACATAGATTTATCAATATTGACATATATATGAAAGTAAACGAGTAATATGTAGATAGGTGTATAATTATCTCTTTAAAAGGAGAAATAAAACAGCAAAACAAATTTTAAATGACCCAGAAATGCAAAGATGTTTTTATTCAGTTTGAATTGACAATAAAACTGCTCACTTAAGAAAAAAGGAAAACCTCGAAATAAAAGCATAATTTTATTTTGTGTTTGAATAGATATTTGTAACTTTCTTTCCCACATAAACTTTTATTAATTTTGGGCTTACATAAAGTTTTACAGTTTTCTGACGGCTTGTGAGATAATCATTCTCTCTTGTCTGTTTGCCCTCCATTTTCTCTCTAAATGATAACGAATTAGTTTTACTTTTTATTGCCAAGTAATCAGTTCAGTCAATGAGTCTAAACTAAAGATTCCCAACGTGAGGTGCATGCCCCACCGGTGGGTCATGGTAATATTTTAGTGGGGCATGCTTAGGATGTGCACCCTTCGGCTTACTTTACCAACGTGAGCTCAAATTTCATTTTGCATTATTATTTCATGATTAAAATGATCAAAGTATGTTACAGAATAAAACTTTCATTCAAATATTTTATATTTCTGCCTTTCAGTTCTCTATTATATGTTTTGAAACTATATATTTAACTGTCTTTTTGGGATTTTTAAAAGATTTTCTCTTTCATGGACACCATAGTCTTTGGAGGTTTGTTTAGAGACCAAGTTAATGGCATTTTATGCTTCCTTCATGTGAATTGCAGTAAAATCTTGAATATGTAAGAATTAAATATTACAGGGGCATCAGAATTTTAGACATACCAAAATGGGGCATGGTCCAAATTCGGTTGAGAACAAATGGTCTAAAAACTATAAATGCTTAAATTTGAATTCAGTTAATCATTTTGCTTGATAAGATGTTAATAATAGCAATGACAACGTTTCTTTGGGAAATGACTGTTAAACACCAATTGAAACGTTATTTTTGTTTGATAAACAAAGTTAAGCAATGTTTTTTCCAGATAATTTGCAACTCTGTGGAGACCCTAAAAGAACCTGAATAATCGCCAATGAAATAAAATGATCGATTCCTTCGTTATGTACAAAAATCCCGACTTTACAAATATTTGCCAGATTTATGAATGTTTTAAACAACACAATATTTCGAGGCTAAGAGCACTTGAGATTTTTACAACAGATAAGTACTGAAAAATAAATATCCTGTGAAAACAAAGATAAGTCGTTCTGAGAATTTTGAGAAAAGCATTTTTATTCCTTTTTTTTTAATCTTCCTTAGTTTTAAAATCATTTTTAAAATGCTTTATTTATCTTGATTGTCATGGTCGTAAAATTTGGAGACGCGACGGAAAAGGCGTGTTGGCTTGTTCAATAAACACGTGTTCGTCTTTTGACGAGTTAGTCGGATTTGAGTTGAGGATGGTCATACGCATTCTAGGCAAGAATAAGAATATATATATATATATATATATATATATATATATATATATATATATATATATATGATGCAATCACAACTACGTTGGGTTGGCCATGTTGCAAGGATGAGTGATAATACCAAAAGTTCTTTTTTTACAGTGAACATCATAGTGGTCATAGAAATATTGGTAGACGTTGGCTCAGGTATAAAGAAAAACTGAAAAGCAACCTTTCTTGCGTCAACATTCCATTCAAGAACTTTGAAATGGTAGCTATGACTAGATCAGAGTATCGTTGTAGCTGCCATTCAGGAATAATGCACCATCAAGAAGTAAGCATCAGTCGACTACGTGAAACACGAAAGCAAAATAAGACAGCTAACAGGGTTCCTGATGCACTTGGATACAATACATTCTCCTGTACTGTTTGTGGTCTTTTGTGAAATACTCAAGCCGGTCTCAAAAGTCATGCACGTCATAGGCATGTAGATAATTAGTTCGTGGTCGTCGGAACCTCATACATCGAACTCGATGGGAGAGTCCATCATATATATATATATATATATATATATATATATATATATATATATATATATATAAGTTTTCATTCATGAAAATACGGTACACCCATACTGTCAGCAAGAAGAATTGTCAACAATTGACTCAGGTGACTTTGTCAGTCAGCCGACTTTTACATGACCTTCACCTACAGACAATGGAAAAGAAAACTTTAAAAAAATAATCATTTTAATTTAATATGTTATTCAGAAACATACATTTTATTCACTGATTTTTTTTTCTTACGTCAGCAAGCAAAAAAAGAAGGAAATAGGAAATCTTTTATATAATATATATATATATATATATATATATATGAACATTTGGAGAAACATTCGTGAAAGTATGTTCCAAAATGATATCCGATAACGCATTCGCCTTTATGGCTTCTTCAGATGGATAACGAAAAATGTGTTGTGTGTGTGTGTTCATTTGTGTGTGTTTAATATAATTAAATCTTTTATTTTTCCCAACTGGCACTGCTCGAGACTAAAAAGAAAATGAGGGATTTTAAAAAAATATCGTTTAACTTTTTATATTCTCCGTCTTAAGTCTCCGAGTCTTGAGATGCAAATCCGTCAGAATAGGTAGATTTTTTTTTAAAGTCATTCATTTTCTTTTTAATCTCGAGCAACGTCAGCTTAGGAAAATAATAAAAGATTTAATTATGTTAAACACACAAATGCAAACACACACAAGACATTTCTCGTTATTCATCTGAAGAAAACTTAAAGGCGAAATGCAATATCGGATGTCATTTTCGTAACATACTTTCACGAATGTTTCTC